TGGGGCCCGTTTTTTTTTTTTTTTTGGAAAATCAGTGTAATATATGTTTGTTCAATAATATTTGTATTTTGAATTTTGAGCAGATTTTATGATAGTATGACATTATTATACCATTTTTATGAGCTATTTTTTTTCCATTAAAATAATTAAACTCTAAATGTATTTTTGGGTCACACTTGGTGCTTGAAATGTAAGTTTTTTTGTTTTGTTTGTTTTTCTGGAAAATCAATGTAATATTTTTGTTCAGTAATATTTTTAGTTTTTTATTTTGAATTTTGAGCAGATTTTATGATAGTTAATACACAATTTATAAATATTGCATACTATTTTTTTCTATTAAAATAAATTAAACCGAGTCTCTTCATTTTTGGGCAAGCAGCAACCTCCCGCTCTCTCTCTCCTGAAACCAACACAGAAGTGACTAAAACTGTAATTCATCGACTGGCCGCTAGAGGCTGCCTCCAAAAGGGACTCGGTCCCATAGACTTTTTTTGAATTTTTTTTTTATTAATGCCAAAGTACCAAATATACAAATACAGAGAATATCAACATTACATGCAAAGCACCATTTATAGATGTATGTAACAATAAATAAATAATACAAAATGAAAGATTTAACAAACTAAATTAAAAAGATTAAATAAATGAACCATTTTAAAAGCCTTGAGCTTCTTGGAAGATTAAATAGTTTGGATATACTGTTCAACCTCTTTTTTATAAACAATATATAAAGGATTTTGATGAGTGTATTTACTGCGGTGAATATGAAATTTTGCAAGAAGTAATAATAGGTTAATAATAAAATATTCATTAATTTGATCTTTTGGTATATTAAAGAAGCCAAACAGTACATCCTTAAAAAGCAGAGAGAAACCCTGGAGCACACTGCGATTGATAACATTAGAAAATTCAATCCAAAATAGCTGTGTGTGAGGACCATCCCAAAAGATATGCATATCAGTTTCATTAGGGTCACCACAAAAACAACAGCTTGCATCTATGTCTGATTTAAACCTTTTCAAAAACACTTTAGCTTTAGGATAAAATCTGTGTAACAATTTGAATGAGATTTCTCTAATCTTGTTAGTTATTATGTATTTCGAAGACAGAGTCCATACTTTTTTCCAATCAATAGAATCAACCCCATTCTTCCAATAAGACATCACATATGCAGTTGTTACAAGCTCCTTTTGAAAAAGCGATCTGATCTTATAGTTACGTGATGAAGGATGTGACAAAAAGCATCGTTTTCCTTCTGGGATTTCAAATGTGTCTAAAGAAATAGATAAAGTGCTGGATGATCCAACAGAGTCCCTTAAAAGCAGAACAGCTCCTTTAGGAATAGCGTCCATGACAATGGAGAATTCTTTGGGAGTTACTGGAAAATGACATGTACATAAGAATTCTTCGTAACTTCAAATAAGACCTTCTGAGTTAAATAACTGGGAAACAATCAAAATGTTTTTCTCCAAGCAACTACTAAAAAACAAAGATTTTCTCTTATATACAATGTCTTGATTGTTCCAAATGAAGTAACGGTGAGGGGAGAAGTTCTGCTTAAAGATGAATGACCATGCAAGTAATGCCTGTTTATGAAATTTAGATACATTGTAAGGGATTCTAGCGATACTATAATTACAGGTCAATAGGAAAGGGAGACCACCTAATTTGGAAAAGAAGTAATTCGGGATAAAATTCCAGATTGAGTTTGGACAGTGTTGAGGAAAGTTACTTTTAAAAGTAATGCATTACAATATTGCGTTACTCCATAAAAAAGTAACTAATTACGTTACTTAGTTACTTTTTATGGAAAGTAATGCGTTACGTTACTTTTGCATTACTTTTTAAATCTGGACTGGGCTTGCTTGTTTGTTTTTAAAATAAGAAAGTTCTATTTTTGGCAAATATAAAAGCCTTTTCACACCAGAAGTGAAATTAATAAGCTTCAGGCTGAACAGAAAGTAAATGTACATCCGTCCGTACAGTAGAATGCAGAAGAAGACATTTCAACACACTTCAGCAATAAACAAAGACACACAAATGTGTGTCTAGTAATTCTTGCCAGTAATTAGTACGGTTGAACTGGATCATTGAAGACATTGGTTAATAGAATGGGATTAAATACATAAAGGATATTCATGTTGTGTAACATTTAATTATTGCAGGTTTGCGTCATATTCTGAGTTGCATTATTTTGATTCATTTTGAGGAATACTGAATCTGTGTGAGTGAGATGAATTAATGCATATTCATATTTATTTTAGAACTACAGTAACATCTGATTTCTCTCAACATG